TTAGTGGGGGCCATTCAAGATGATCTGATTGGCGAGCTCGGTCTTACGAAGCTCGATATGGCCTTGGGCGCCTGGGTTGAAATGCCTCAATAATGAGGAGGCATCACTCACCTGGCTGATGATTCGTTGGGCCCTCTGGGTCGGCAAGAGACTTTGTTCAGCAGGCTTGGAGAAATATCCAAACTGTCGTCGCTGTACGGGGGAAGTCGAGACCATTAGTCACGCCTTCTTTCACTGCAGGGCGGTTGTGCCGTTGTGCAGGTTTGTTGAAGACCTCATGGTTCGCATGCTGCGGGGAAAGTTTTTTGTCATGGAAGCCAGTTCTGTTTGTAGCAATGTGGTGCCGCAGATGACGAAGGCTGAACACTATGTGTTCTGTTGCTTACTAGGGGTTATGAGAGTTGTGATTTGGACGACGCGTCAGAAGGAATTCTATGAGGGCAAGAAGTTCACCTCTTCCCAACTGATCTTGTTCTTTAAGCATCAGCTTAAAGTCAAGATTAGGATGGAAAGGCGGCAGCTCACCTCATCAAAATTTGGCAAAAGGTGGGTGAATCTTGCGCGTATGTGCCGAATAAAAGGGGCTGATCTTGAGTGGCATTTTGATGCCGGTTAGGCATCAGGATATTGTTTTCCTGGGTTGAACTTGGGCAACCCATCCCTGGTTTTAGGTTAGAGTAGGTTTTCCGTTTGGACTTTTTTAGTTTCTCTTTTTTTTTCTGTAAACTTAGCTACGGTGTGTTTGCTCATTGGTCCTTTTTTTCTGTCCCTTTTTTTTTGTTTAGTTTAACTCCCCATCCCATCCCTCGTTAGGTGGTCAGTATTTTCAGTTCTCTGGTGGATGCGGGACGCCTTTCGTTTCTAGGGTGTGTTTTTTCGTATTTGTTGTTGTGTCTGAATCGGTGCGTGCCTGTGTGTGTGGGTGGGAGGGATGATTGTTTTTCTATATTTCTAAAGTCCCGTGTTGATTTCGTCCAGTTAATTGATTTTACTCTCAAATTCAGGGTTTGTGGGGGATTTTATTACTAACACGATTTTGTTTAGTTTCATGTAAATAATTTTATGTCATATTGTATATAGTCATTGAGGTCGTTTTTACTTGTTATATTGTATTCCCCCCACAGACATTATTTGTACATATGGGGTTAATTAGGATTCTCATTGAGACAATGAGGTATTTTGGTGGTTGTAGTAAGAAAGGTAATTATGAATGTGGTGTTTTGGTGGTAGGATTATTGTTTCGTATGTTTGGGTCAGTGGTTGTGGCTAGCTAAGTTTAAAATTAAGACAAATGATGACCGTCGATTTTCCCTATTCCCCCTTTTGGCCTTGTGCCCCTTTGTAAATACGGTAATAAATATTGTGACATTTGTTTTTGAGAGCCTAGTACGACTACCAGTGTTGGACACTAAATATTTTGCTTAACTATCTCTGTAACCTGTTGTTAATATATCTTTTTTACATCTAATCCGTGTTCCGTGTTTTACTTCTGTGGTCCCAACTTTGGCCTCACATCAAAGATGCAGCATAAAAATTCTCCACACATTATATTGGGGTTTAAAATGTATAAATATCAAATGTGCAATAAGTGAATGTGTCAAAACAATGGAAAAATGACATTTTTTTGAGCTTTGAAAAGAATTGTGTTAAAAATCTCAATATCCTAATTTGCTTAATCCATAATTATATTTAATTGGACTGAGTCTATTTATAAATGTATTTTCGCTTTTATTAACTACATTATTTAAATTAATTTCGGTCAATCAGCAGGATTTTTAAGTCGGATTGAAAAACAGAAAAAATAATGCGTTCGAATTTAGGTAATCTCTAAGAAAAAGCAGAAACTAGGATATTTACCGGGAATTAAACTAAAAAATGATTAAGTGACTTTACAAGGCAGTTTAAAATTACTGGATTAAGATGTTTAATGATAACTCAATAGAATGTTTTTTTATGATTAGTAGAAATCCTCGTTAAATTCAAGGAGTAACCCTACGCTAATTCCAATTACAAATTGGGGAATGATTTTCCAAATGTAATAGTTACCAAATTAACTGAAGTGACAAAAAATTCCAAACAAATTCAGGTGTCACGTTATGAAGCAATCCTCAGCGAACTTTCTTCATGTTCTTATTGTCCTTTTTACTAGGTAAATAATTTCTACCTATTGGTTTTTATGATCGTTTCTATTTTAGCTATTTATATTTCGTATTCATGAGGGTTCAATGCTGAACCGAAACTCATTTCTTCCATTCTATCTATCTATCTATCTATCTATCTATCTATCTATCTATCTATCTATCTATGTTCTCAACCAATGCAGTCAATTCTTATCTGTCTATATTAGCTTGTTCTTATGCCTCTCCTTATCTATCTATCTATCTATCTATCTATCTATCTATCTATCTATCTATCTGCGACAAAAACACATCCCATAATTGGAAGGCTGACAAAACGACCAAAGTAACTGTTATTAAAAAAAAACAAAACATTTCACTGTTGTTTAAAAAAAGGGTTACGTTTTATTTATTCATTTGGTTTTTAAAATGTCATCTTCGAAATGGTGGTCTGTATTCGCTGTTGTAGATAGTCTCTAAAGTTTTCCCTTGTCTCGATGTTTGGGCGCTTCATAGTCTTCCAGGTGGATTGGTTTTAAGCGGCCTTGAAATTTTCAAACCATAGCTGTATCGATTTCCTATCCGGAATAGCATGATTCCGATGTAACATGAAATCAGCACGAAAAACACCCTGTGTTGCAATATCAGATGCTTTTTTTCTATTTATGTGACATGCCTTTTCAGGACGTAGGTGATCATTGCTCTTCACCCCATCTATATCCCCAGCAGCTCTCAACAAGTTCCTTCCCTCTACAACCTCCCACAGACCACGTTATGTCATCCACTTGCTTAAGTCCGCCAGGTATGTCACGCGTTGTTTTCATTTGTCTATCTTTCCCTCTATTCGACCCGTGAGTATCAGATTCTACAGGCCCTTCATTCTCATTATGTGTCCCAGAAACATCAGCTATCACTTCCTGATAATGCACCAGTATTAAAAAAAATTCAACACCAAAGGCACGATGTGCCCTGAATGGTGACCGATCTAAAAAGATATGTTAAGAGATTAGCTATATGAAGCCACCATTGTCACTTGCCTAAATTCACTAGCACCACATAGAAAGTTTAAATTGTGGGATGTAATTTTTACGCACATTCTCTCTCTCTCTCTCTCTCTCTCTCTCTCTATATATATATATATATATATATATATATATATATATATATAGAAGACTCAACTCAATTTTGCTGAAAGCTCGCTAATTCAGATGAAACATATCCAACTCCACGTGGCTCAAGAGGAATCAACTAGGATAATTATCATATAATTATTGTGCTTGTCTCTCCTGTCCTTAGTTCGCAAGACCATTACGCTTTGCTGATACAGACTATGCCATATTCATCGCGCAGAAAGACAAAAGATATATCAGAGATGATATTTGATTTCAGTCGGAAAATGAAAGAAAGAAGAGAAGATAGAACTATTTAACGTCTCCTGCTAATACATAAATAATAGACTATTCCGTTTTCATCGCGCGTGAAGACAAAGACATATAAAGACGCTACTTGGTTTCAAGGAAAAAGGAAAGAAAGAAGGGAATATAAAAGTGTTTACTGTCGGTTTCGGTGAAATGGAAAATGCTTTCAGTTTAAAATATTTTCATTTGTCCCTCCTTACTGCTTAAAACAAGGATCAGCATTAACATTTCTGATTGGTATTGCAATATTTTGTTAAAGTTGTTTGGCTCAAATATTTTACGATGATATAGGGGAATTTTTACGGATATTTTATTGTCGCAGAACTCGCCATCAACTTAATCATTAACTTAATAATTAAGATTACTCTTAAAATTAAAATACGAAAAACCGAGAAAATTTCACCGGTTAACACTAGTACATTTAACTATTTAAACTATTTATATCGTTCGGGCTGTTCTCATCTTTATTCACATATTCACGACGTTTCGGTCATTGTAGGATTCTTCAAGTAATATACGTTAGAATTTAGTTGTAGATTGTTCTGGTTCTACGTGCTATGCCTTTTCTAGATATCTCAGTATCATGTAATTCCCTTTTAGTAATTCAACTCGTTTTGTTCACTTCTGCTGTGGCCAGGTATTGAACTCACAACTCTTTGCGTCAAATCAAACAACCAACTCGTTTTTCCACTGGGCCATGTAGATAAAAGCGTTTGGTCCCTTTTTCAATATTAGACCCGCTGTTTTCCTCAGAAAATAATACCCGAAAGACTTTCTGACTGTGAACGCATTGTACTGTCGGCAACTGTGTAAACCAGAGCAAGAAGTGAGGAGGTTTCGATATCTCCTTGGTGAAACCTCTGTTCCTCACTCAGTAATGGGCAATCAACTGAAGAGCAAATACTAGTAGATGACAGTATTCTATCCAATATATAGGACCTGACTTATGTTGGTGTATCTTGCTGCTTATGGCTTCCGAATAAAAATGATATGCCCACGGAAACGTTAGTGAGGTGCGAAAGAAACCATGAAGCTTACTTCCGACTAGCAGTGGTTTGAATTAGTGTAGCTTTTAAAACCTCACTTTGGAATACACATAGAATGAGGAACAATGAGAGAGAGAGAGAGAGAGAGAGAGAGAGAGAGAGAGAGAGAGAGAAATGAGAACGGGAAATAGGAGAAGAAGGCAAAGCTTAAAGTGAAAGTCAGCTTTGCAGAATTGAAGGCAGTGTAAATAATAATTATATGCAGTAAGAGAAATGAACATAAAGGACGAATCCAGATAGATAGGGACAAAAAGAGATCAGGAAAAGAATGAATGCATGAAAGAAAGAAAGAAGCCATAAAAGTAAGTGGTCATAATAAAGGAAGCCAAAAACTTAAATTGAAAGACAGCTTTTCAGAAATGAACACAGCGTAAAGGCTAATTATATCCGCTAAGAGAAATAAGGGTATATTTATGAAACTAGAGAGAAAAATACATGACTAGAGAGAGAGAGAGAGAGAGAGAGAGAGAGAGAGAGAAAGAAAGAAAGAAACTATAATAATAAGCGTTCATATTAAAAGAAGTGAGCAAATAAACTGAACACAGCGCAAAGTATAATTATATGTAGTAAGAGGAAGAAAGATCAAATGCGAAACTAGAGAGAACGTTAAATAGCTAGAGACTGAGAAGAAAGAATGAAGCCGCACTAAATCAATGGCCATAGTGAAGGAAGCCAATACTTAAACTGAAAGATACTTTTTAGAACTAAAGACAAAATATAGGATACTTATATACAGCAAGAGAATGAAGGATAAAACAGGTAACCAGATAGATAGATAGATAGATAGATAGATAGATAGATAGAAACAGGCTGAGATAGATAGATATGGACAAGCTGAGATAGATAGATAGATAGATAGATAGATAGATAGATAGATAGATATAAACAGGCTGAGATAGATAGCTATGAACAGGCTGAGATAGATAGATAGGTAGATAGATATAAACAGGCTGAGATAGATAGATATGAACAGGCTGAGATAGATAGATATGAACAGGCTGAGAGATAGATAGATATGAACAGGCCGAGATAGATAGATATAAACAGGCTGAGATAGATAGATATGAACAGGCTGAGAGATAGATAGATATGAACAGGCCGAGATAGATAGATAGATATAAACAGGCTGAGATAGATAGATATGAACAGGCTGAGAGATAGATAGATATGAACAGGCCGAGATAGATAGATAGATATAAACAGGCTGAGATAGATAGATAGATATAAAATGAGATAGATAGATAGATATAAACAGGCTGAGATAGATAGATATGAACAGGCTGAGAGATAGATAGATAGATAGATAGATAGATAGATAGATAGATATGAACAGGCTGAGATAGATAGATAGATAGATAGATAGATAGATAGATAGATAGATATAAACAGGCTGAGATAGATATGAACAGGCCGAGATAGATAGATATGAACAGGCTGAGATAGATAGATATGAACAGGCCGAAATAGATAGATAGGTAGATATAAACAGGCTGAGATAGATATGAACAGGCTGAGATAGATTGATAAATAGATATGAACAGGCTGAGATAGATAGATAGATACATAGATAGATAGGTATGAACAGCTGAGATAGATAGGTATGAACAGATAGATAGATAGATAGATAGATAGATAGATAGATAGATAGATAGATAGAGAATTGGCTGAGCAGATAGATAGTGAGAAAGGGAAAAGCAGTAATAGAGGAAATTTTATGACAGTAAAACCCCTTGAAAGATAAAGGAAAGATATATGAAAAAATTACTCCACAAAAGTGTAAAGAATATGAGCGATAATGGGATTTTGAAAAGGGAAAGAAATAAACCATCACAGATTAACAAACATGGCGGTCTGATTTTATGGTAAAATTCAATAAGGAAAATGTCTTCTTTGCTCTTTCTGATTTATGACGACGCCGAAATACTGCTTCCTGATGAACTCTAGATCATTGACAGCAATATTTCTCCAGGAGATTTCATCGTGAAAATGTCGCGAATAAAATATTTTAAGGCTTAATCAGTGATACAACTATTTCAAAAATGACACCTTGCGCTGAATACCATGTATCGGCTTGTATAATTGCAAAAATGACGTTGGATTTAGAATTAATTGAAGGCTTCATTATTTTTCCCTTAAACTTTGCTAAATCTTCATCGTAGGTAAAAGAAGCAAGCTAAGTATAGTATACGGTTTCAAATTAAATAAAGTTTAAATAATAAACCTGGTCCAGTGTCTACACTTGCTCGTCTCATTATCAGTTTCAATATTGTCGAACGTCAAAACTTTGAAATATATTAGACCAGTTCACTTGGAAGATGCTATGAAGCAGATAACATGTAAATATTGAACAAGAAGCAGGATATGATTGTAAATAGAGAGAAAAGAAAGAACAGAGGAAAACGTTTATGAATCGAGCAAAGATTATGAAGAGTGAATAGATGAGTAAGAGATGAAATTCTCAGATGATAGCAAGAAACGAAATTATTTCTGCCTGTTCATATCTATCTATCTATCTATCTATCTATCTATCTATTTCAGTCTTTTTATATCTATTTCATACTCTTCAAACACATACACATATATATATCATCCTGTTAATATCTATCTAGCTATCTATTTCATCTTGTTCACTCTCACATCTATCTATCTATCTATCTATCTATCATCTCTCTCTCTCTCTCTCTCTATATATATATATATATATATATATATATATATATATATATATATATATATATATATCATCCTGTTCATATCTATCTATCTATCTATTTCATTTCATCCTGTTCCCTTTACATATATTTCATCTTATTCATATCCATCCGTTTCTCAGTATATCTATCTATCTATCTATCTATTATCTATCTATCTATCTATCTATCTATCTATCTATCTATCTACCTCATTTTGTTCATTCTCTCACCTCCCGCACTTTTATATATATATATATATATCATCCTGTTCATATCTATCTATCTATCTATCTATCTATTTCAGTCTTTTTAAATCTATTTCATACTCTTCAAACACATACACATATATATTTCATCCTGTTCATATCTATCTAGCTATCTATTTCATCTTGTTCACTCTCACATCTATCTATTCATCTATCTATCTATCTATCTATCTATATATATATATATATATATATATATATATATATATATATATCTTCCTGTTCATATCTATCTATCTATTTCATTTCATCCTGTTCACGCGCACATATATTTAATCTTATTCATATCCATCCGTTTCTCAGTATATCTATCTATCTATCTATCTATCTATCTATCTATCTATCTATCTATCTATGCATCTATCTATCTATTTCATTTTATTCATTCTCTCACCTCCCTACCCCTTTATATATATATATATATATATATGTTCCTGTTCATATCTATCTATCTATCTATCTATCTATCTATCTATCTATCTATCTATCTTACTGACATCACCTCACCTGTTAAAATCTTACGTCAATATCATGTTAAAACGTGCGTTTTCGTATGATCACCGATCTTAAGTAACATTGAGATTAATGAGTTCTTAGGTGGGTGACCGCTTGTGAATGCCAGGTTAGATGACCTGGAATCGAAGGGTGATGTAATGGATTAGAGCTCGGGATTGCCAATTGGAGAGCTGTGGAGCAATAGCAGTTGGGGATCGTTACATTCACTTACGCACAAATAACATTGGGAAAAAAATCATGGATCCACCGATTCCCTTCGTAACTATGGGTTAAATAGTAAGTATCACTAAATCATTATTATCTCATCCGCCCCCCTGAAAAAATATTTGGTTCGTTCAAAAACATTTGGTTAAATAATATCCACAAGTTCTGTCTATCAAATAATTGTTTCATGCAATCGTTAAATTTAAGTAAATTTATGACACACACACACACACACACACACACACACACACACACACACACATGGCACACTTTACACACATATACACATATATATATATATATATATATATATATATATATATTCAGAGTCTGTCCTCAAGGACACATGGATAAAGGCGTTGGTTAGATCCAGTGACAGACCCAAAGAAGGTGAGTTCAATTCCTGGTTAAGGCAGTGGAGAACTTTCAGAGGGAAAATTAGCAGGAGATAACTGATAACTGACATCCATCAAACATAGCACGTGGAACTAGAACAGAAATAAAGGGTTCAGTTCGAAATTCCTACCACCTGAAGAAGGCCGGAGCGTACAACGGCCGAAACGTTGTGACAAATATGGCGACAAAAGATGAGGACAATAGTCCGACTAATGTAAATACTGTATATGGAATTCAGTTTATGACTATATTTGTGATCTTTGAAAAGCTATCCTCATTTAACAAATACTTATATATGAATATATGCAATCCATGTTTGTATATTTATATATAAGTATTTGTTAAATGTGGATAGCTTTTCAAATATCACAGTTATATTAATAAATTGAATTACAAATCCATAGTCATCGGAAAATTCTTCTAAAACTCCTTGTTATTTTGTAACTAAATGACAGCATTTCCTTTTTGGTTCAGTATGGTTTGACCAGATTCATAGCGAAATTCTCGCATCGTCGCTATCACAACAATATCGAAATAGTCTTCGAATCAGGCGGACACACACACAAACACACACACAGACACAAACACACACATGAACTTATATATACCAGGTATAAAAGAAAAATTGTCTAAATTGTGTAAAAGCATGAGATAATTGTCCATCCTACAAAATATTAAATATCTAGAAAAAAAAAACAAAAAAAAAACACTGATCTAAGTGATTCTTCAGGTTTTTAGATAAAACGTTTAGCCATCTTGAAACCACTTGTAGTAAGAATAACTTTGAGTTTCACTTGGAAAGAGACCGGGTTTAAATCGTTTTGTGTCAGCTCAACTGAGCAATGGTGAGAAGAAAAAAGATCATTCAGGCTTTCAGTAATGGTACCAAAATTCATACCCTGGCTTCCATCTTCAAATTCCTTTCAAGAACCATCAAGAGAACGGTGGATAAGTTTAAAAAATAGAGAACAGCATATAGGAAAACTGGATAAAGAAGTCACAATAGGAAGAGAGATCATTATTTCAACGGAGAGCTAAAGAGATCAATTAGAAAAGATTAAACTAAATCCATAAGACGTTTGGTACGTGAGAGAGAAGTTTCATCTATGACAGTCCAACGAGCAGTAAAAAAAAAACTTGAAAATGAAATCGTACGTGAAACCTATAAGGCACATTATTACTCCAGGACAGAAAATTAGAAATTTAGAAAAGGCGAAGATAATCTTGAACAATTTGGAAAATGATCCTGGAATAATATATATATATATATATAGATGAATTTTATTTCAATCTTTCATGATCTTCCGATCAATAGCTATGATTAATTACTGATGAACATTTCATTTCCGTTTACGATTGATTTCATATCGATTCTTCTGTTAAGCTTGGAGTGTAATTATACAGGGTGACCCCCAAAAACGGGAATTTTTGAAGTGCGTATTGCCAGACATGAGCAAGTAGCAACACTGCGAGACAGTGACCTTGAGCAAGTAAACATTTCGCCATTTAGAATTCAAGATGAAATCCACAGTATCCCAGCTGAGATGTTGCAGTAGTCAATGAGGAATCTCAACAGCAGATTTCAAGAATGGATTCGTACAGGAGGACGCCATCTACAGGACGTAATTAAAAAAAATGAAAATTCCATCATTGTTTCGTAAATGGCATATTTCAAGGTTTCAATTGCTATAAATAGATTATTTTTCTTCCATCACTCTTGATTTTATTGGATTATTAAAAAGTTCCCATTTTTTGGGGTCACTCTGTATAATATTATTGCTCGAAGTAGAGTTCAGTGGGATTATTAAAACCTCGGAGAATTCCAGCAATATATCTTTAATCATTTCTAAGATACAACGGTTCATATCTTAATCTAACAAAAGGACAATTTTTGCTGTTACATTCGGTATATATATATATATATATATATATATATATATATATAAAAAAAAATGCCTAATTATTTTTCTGTTCTTACATTAAACTAAAATAATTGCAAATGTTAAGTGTCGAGGTTTAGAAAAAAAAAATGATCCATGAATAGTTGGTTTGGAATGACCTGCATGCCATGGAAATATAAATGTGTATTCTTGCTCCGGTATTGGCGAAAATGACAGCTTCGTTCACTAGAGGACAAAATAAATCTGTATCTACTGTGAAATTTCCCAAGATATAGATAGATATAAAGGAATAGAGTGGAACTAATAGATACGGTAGGTGTTTTCATTTGTTCTCCCCACGTTCAACTGGACGCCAATCATCTATATTCAAACATAATTTTTAAAATCAGATACTTCATTATGAGCGCAACAGCTCTCCCATTATTTTCGTTCCAGTTTTGTGCAGATTATGCTGTGCGCATGCGGGCTGCGACACCTCAAGTGGATCCAGCTACTGCGTAAATACCATTCGACATTTCTTTTAATTTTTTATTTATTTATTTTTGCCATTCACAACTCTTTGGAAAATTTCCTGTTCTGCCACCGCCGCCACTAACGATGCATATGCAATTCAGTGGCATGGACAGCGACGAGGGGATTTCCATTATGCCAATACAATACGCCATCTTTCGAAGCCACTTCACGCCTCTTCAGCTTCAATATCCTTGAATATCGCTTTTGGCAGAGTTGTTTTATTAATACGGAAAGGGAGAGAGAAAAAAATGGATGAAAACAAAAGATAAGGTGCTGCCCTTTGTTTAGCGAAAAATGTAGAATGAAAAAGTAAATTTAAAGATGCCTTCGAATATGAGA